TCTCACGCGAGCTCGCTCCCCGTTCACTTCGCACGCAAAGACGCAGATCGGCCGCGTCTTTTTTTTCATTTCAGTTCATTTATTAGGTATATAGGCCCTATTCTTTGGTTCTTTAGGTAAAGTCACGTATGAAGATAAAATAATTAAATTTAATTAACGTGACTTTACCGAAAGAACCAAAGAATAATTCCTGCAGTCACGAAAGCTCCAAATTAAGTTTATATAGGCCCTGTGAGTCATTCGCCTCTTGACTCGGGTGCAACCGCCGCAACAATTAAAAAAACATGAACAAGAAAACATCTTAAAGTGGCAGCAGCCTTCTAGCAGGCAATCGGTGAGTGGTGGGACGGAGGTTGGCACGAGAGCTGTGAGCAGCGAGCGCCCATCGCAAGACTCGAACCGCGCGCACGAGAGCGCGATTTCGACCAGCACCACGACCCCCCGGACCGCCTTCGTGTCCCCCTTTGGCGCCGACTTTCTCGCCAGGCACCCCGAGGGTGGGACACATCGGAGGGTGGCGCAGAGTTGCCGTGCGGGGCCCTGTTTGGCGAGGGGGGGGGGGTCCGAGCCGTGGGTCTCCGCGCGTTCACGCGACGTTCCCTGGGCTGGCGGCGCGCAGAGACAGAAAGTCTTCATTTTAATCCGAGTAGTCCACAGGGGGGGGGGAGGGGGGGGGGGGGACAGGCGCTGGCTAAAATAAAACCGTGATGCACGCCGGCAATTTTGGGGCAATTGCCGCACGCGTTTGTCACCGGCGATAGTTGCAACGTCGCTTTGTGGAATCGCGAACCGCACAAAAACTACGACGCCTGCGTAGGCGGTCGCGATTGTGCTGGACGGCTCTTGTGTGTCCGTGTGTGTGTCAGTGTGTGTGTCAGTGTGTGTGTCTGTGTGTCAGTGTCTGTGTGTGTCCCTGCATGTGTTCTCTGTGTGTGTCCGTGTGTGTGTCTGTGTGTGTCAGTGTGTGTGTCAGTGTCTGTCTGTGTCTCTGCGTGTGTCTCCGTGTCCGTGTGTCCTGCCTGTGTCTCTCTGTGTGTCTCTGTGTGTGTCCGTGTCTGTGTGTGTCTCTCCGTATATGTATCAGTGTATGTGTGTATCTGTGTGTGTCTGTGTGTGTGTCTCTCTGCGTATGTGTCTTCCATGTCCCTGTGTGTATCAGTGTATGGCACAGCCGCCTTTGTCTCCCCAGTGGCGATGTTTACACACCGCACCAGGTACTAATTTGAGGCTGAGTCGACCTAGGGGAGGCCCAGGACCGGTTCGGATAGTTGTCACTGGTGTTGGCTGTGAACGGGAATTGAACACGGGTCGCCAGCTTCGTAGCGCAGTGCGCTAACCGCTACACTACACACAAAGACAAAGACGTGTACACACGTGTACACACACACGTGCGCATACACACGTGTACACAGACACACGTGTACACAACAACAACAACCGCCATTCGCCACGAAGTGGCGGTGACGTCACCACGACGCTTGTGCCAGGTCATGTGCACCTTGAGGCCACGTGAAGTGTCGAACGCCCGCTGGCAGGAGGTCACGGGGCAGACCCAGGTGCCACGGGTCGACTGACTGAGATGACCGAGATGACTGGCTGATGCACCACCTGTGTCCCCTACTGTACCAACTTGCTGTGCTTTAGCCACCCGACGCTCCGCTCGTTGTTGTGAGCGTCGCTCCTCCGCCCTCCGTTGTTGTTAGAGGGCGACTGCCTCCAACTGCCCAGTCGCGTCCTTCACGAGCCTCCTCCACAGAGGCCGATCTTGGCACCACTGGTACCAGTCATCGGCAAGTCCACTCAGCTCCACGTCCTCCCGTACTACATCATCCATCTCTTCTCTAGCTCGTGCCGCGCCCGTTTAGCCCCCTCGATCCGGCCGAACAAAAGCTGTTTAGGCATGCGGTGGCCGGGCATGCGGGCTACATGACCCAGCCAACGCAGCCTTGCCTGCCGGAGGAGCTCACCGATGGGACTTTGCCCAGATCTTTCAAGGATTTGTGAGCTTCTCACACAATCCAGCCTGGTTAAGCCCAGGATGGATTGTAGGCAGGCCAGCCTAAATGTTTCTAACCGGCGAAGATGCTCCATTAGGGGGGTCCACGATTTGCAAGCGTAGAGAAGGGAGGGAATGACCGTGGCCGAGAAGACCTGAAGCTTCGTGCGGAGCGACAGACCAGGTAGCATCCACACAGCGTTACGCAACCGATGAAAAGATAATGCCGCTCGACTGATTCGGAGTGCGACCTCTGCTGTTAAACTGGAGCCGGTCATAAGCACACTGCCCAGGTATGGGAAACTCTCCACTCTCTCCACAACTGTGTACACACAGACGTGTACACACACACTCACGTGTACACACACACACGTGTACACACACCACGTGTACAAACACACGTGCACACACACGTACGCTTGACGTACGAACGGCCTCCATTCTCCACGTTGTGTACTCGGTGCAACGTTGAATCTCCCGAAGACTCGATAGCCTTGAACAAACATTGTTACGACTCGCGTTTTAATATTCATGAAATACATTAATTTAAAGCTCGTGCGTTGCATTAAATGTCTGATAAGTCTCTAAATTTCGATTTAAAGCTTTCGTTCTTTCGGTAAAGTCACGTAGAAGGGAAATAATAAAATTAAAATAAATAAAAACACAATAAAATAATTCTCACGACGTTTCGGCTACAATGCAAGCAGCCGTCCTCAGGTGAAGAATGAAACACCACCAAGCTTGGAGCGTATATTTAAGCTGGGTTGGAGGGAGAAGGAAAGCGCCTTGTAGCCGAAACGTCGTGAGAATTATTTTATAATGTTTTGTTTTTATTATTTTATTATTTCCATTCCACGTGACTTTACCGAAAAAACCCAAGAGTATGTACAGCTCTTTTTCAGAAGCGACCTGGCCACAAATGAAAGCTCAACTAAGTGGCTTATCACGTGGAAATGTACAGCAGCCAAATACTCATAAACGCGTGTTTCCAAACGTGGAATGAAAAACCGGAGGACCCGGAGAAAAATACACGCAAACTACATGCATACAGGAGGCGTCAGGGTCGAGATTGAACCCACGCGGTCCTGTGTACCAGGCGAGAGAGGACCTCCCCGTGGAAGACGGAGCGATGGGGTCAACTCGTGTGCAGCAGGCGGCTAGGTGGGTCATATCTATCGCAAGGACAGTGGCCGGGGGAGGTCTTCATCCAGCAAATGGATTCATCAAAACTGACGCTGATGGTGTTGACCTCTGCGAGCCATTCATCAGCAAAGTGTGGCCTCTGAAGTCGAACGCTAATGAGGGGAGGGGGGGTGGGGGTGGTCCTGCATGTAGCTGGAGGCAAAATCCTTCGGCGGACACGGTGAACCCCAGCGGTGTACGCCCGCAACATTTGGTACACAATCCAAACGGTGGTCCCCACAAACTCTGGATTGTACCGCCACCGCCTGCCTCGACTCTGTAAGTGTCACGCGCGTGAGAGAGACGTGAATCTGCGACTCACCATTGGAACCTAATTTGCCAGTAAAAATATGATAATTGTTTTTTTACCCTTTTATCTGCCAAAAAACTGACACCGTTTTTTACAAGGAGTCATGTTTGCATAAACTACATACCTGCAGTCATAATGCAAATAAAAA